AAAAAACTATTCATAACATGTAAGGCAGACCCTGGCTATAGCTGGGAAATTGCCAGGTAGAAGGAGAAGTGTAACAATAAAAGAAAATTATATGCCTTTCTAATTTTAATATCTTTAAGTTTTAATTAAATTATATGTAAATCGGCAAATCCTAAGCAAAACAGGTTTCTCGAGTTTGAAAGGAGTGATAACTGATTCTTAAACATTATCAAAGTATAGAACAAATTATTTATAAGAAGTCGAGATAAAGTGTACAGTTTTCAACTCCTGGATTTTCATATTTTTTTCTCCAAATCTTGTATTTTCTGTAAAGTTACGCGACACAGACATTATTATATACTTTATTATTTTAACACTCTATTATATTCTCCATGAGCCTAATACCAACATCAAATAAAAGTTTGATGTAAAATAGTTATATTTAAAACGCAGCTTAATAAAACATGGATAACTTAGTAAATGTCCTCTTTTCTCCCTAAAATTTTATATTATCCTTATGAACAGTTAGTTGTGTATACAATAAATACATATTATATATAATGTTTATTAAAAAAGGGAACTGAGTGATTGATAAATACACGTTTCACTAATACTAAATATTCTTCAAAACTAACTTTAAATAAACAAAAACCTAAAATTTTGTGAAAAATCCTTCATTATAAAATAACCAATATACATAATCAGCCTTATATTGACTTATGTAAATTATCTTATTTCAAAATGTAAATAAGATATCAAACACTCAGTGTTCAAAATGTATCATTCACGTTTACCTACTCCATATACCTAAATATAATTCATACACTGTATATTCAATTCAATAAAGCAAAGTTTCAGTGCTTAACCAAATACCCTAAAGATTTCAAACGCCAGCATAACTTAGTCAGTCAATTAAGTTCAGTGAGTTAGTCAGTTGGATTACAAATAGTAATGGGTTATATCAATTGTAGTTTATGTGATTGTTGCTATTTTAAATATTGGTTCTAGGAAACTCAGGTCATAGTTAGATCAATTAGTTTAGGAGTTACAATTGAAATTGGACGCAATGTTATGCTTACCATAAGTTGCCATCGTCATACTAAATACAGAGTGATAATTTTTCATTCATAAATCTTTCCACACTTCCCACATTTCAAGGTGGTAGAGCCTAGTTGCAGTCAAGTTACTTCAGCTCGAACATGGGCTGGCTCGACCGAGGAAGAACCCTCTCACAGAAGATCGGCATGAAGTAGCCTTTAGTGGCTGCGTTTCGTTTGATGAGTGAGAGAGCCGGTTGCCCTTTCCCTATTCCCACCCTTTCCTACCCCTTCCCTTTTCCCTTCGTTTCCCACTTTTTCCTTTTCCTCTTCCCTAATCAAGGGTGGTAAATTGCAAATAATATGTTGCGGTTGGTTGTATATGGGCGACGGTACTACCTCTTTGCCCTTTGCCCCCTTTAGATTATTAAATGAGATACGGAAAACGTTTCGTATGTAGTCAATGCAAACTTGTTGTAAACGTACTGTACTTTATTTTGATTATTTTAGACAGAAATGGCTTACGAGTACGTACGAGTTGGGTAAATTGGCTTAAGTTTTTTACTTTTATTTTGTATGTCCTTTTTATTACATTCATTCGTTATAAATAAAATAAACTCATCACACGTTAAAAATAAAAAGTATTTCCAATGCAATGTTGTAAATTAATAAGTCTATTTTATATGCATACTGTATAAGCAATTTCGATATAAAATAAATTGGGTTGATAACTAAAAAATGTTTTGAAATCTATAATTAAAGAATGTATACTTTAAAATCAATTAATAAATACAGAAATGGTTATTTTTACACCAAGAAATTAATAACTCTTTATAGGTATAATATTTTTTACAGTATATTTTAAAGTTGTTATTAATACAGCTGTATTTAACCTGCAGTAATATCTTTGGTGGTTTATAAATAACTTGTTTAGAGTGATCAGTACAAGGTATTTCTAGTGCTCCACTCAATCTTTGTGATGAGAGCCTTCCATTACGTCATTCTATTTGTGCAACTAAAATCGCCTCTCTATTGTCAGGGTTGATTAATATAATACAAGTTACAACACATGTATTAGACGTCATACATAAAGTTATGATTTTTCGGTTGTTTGCTTTTTTTTAATTAATTTTATTGTTTTGTTTCAAGTAAGTACATCGTTTTTGGTCTGAATTAAATTCATTTAAATTTAGTTTAATTTATCTTCTTTTAATTCACCTCTTTTAGAGTTTCAACAGGTTTGTTTTGGAGCTAGCAATCTCCAAACTTAAGCTATTTATGCAAAAAGTTATTGTTTTTCTTTTTAAGTAGCTTTATTATTCATATTTTTATTGTTTGAACTATTTAGGTCACGATCTAGTAATCATTCGATGTTTTAAGTCCTGTATTGTTTTTAAAAATATGTATCGATGGAGAACTTGTATAAAAACAAATGATTAATTGATATTCAAACCTAAATAGTCGATCCTAAATGCGCAATACATTTGAATTTGTAAATGCTAAACAGAAGCCACATTATTGGAGAGAGAATTGGTCTGTTCATAGATGTACCAATTATATGTTAAATAGTAAAATTTAATATTATATAACGCATATATAAAACCTTACAAGTAGATACTTTGTTGTATATCGGTAAAAAAATTTCATAGACCTATTTTTTATTAAAATCAAAAGTTTGCGTGTGTTTTATTATTTAGGTAAGTACTTTTGAGTGTTTCAACTTTCATGTCGAGTAGTTATGTAAGTTAAAAATATATATTTCAACTTGTGATATTAAATTTGATACGGGATTTAATAGTTGAAAATGTTTTGATATGAGAGCAACAAAAACTTTAATGTAATTTATACCAACAAAAAATGTTAGCCATTTAAACAATGCTAATTATATCTATAATTAATTAATTAGATATAAAATGAAAATTAGTGAAAAATCTTATATATGGAATAGTAGCATTTAATGATAAGGAAATTATATCAACTGAAAAATATACACGTTAACTGAAATTAAACGAGAATAGTTTCTAAAGTCATTTCAGTCATTTACACAATATGGTTAGTAAAAAATATGTCCCCGTTGATATAACAATGGTAAATCTTTTTCTATTGTTTTGCTATGATTCAGTTCTCAATACGCTTTTTACTATGTAGTATCGATATTGTTTTAAGTTTAACAAAAACTATTTATTTATGGATACAATTGAAATTATTGTTTCCAATATCGATGCTTATAAGACCTCAACTAAAACCAATAACATAACATGTTCATAAAAGTTAAGAAAACTCGGAATCCATAACAATAGAATATGAGGGAATATTTCTAGACTAAAAAAGAGCAATCTAATATAAAATAGGAACGAATTCAGTTTACGACTGCAGTAATTTCTACTATCTAATAACAAAACGTAGCTAGAACAATACAATTACTAAGTTATGTCTTACAACTACCGTCACCATCGTATTACCAGTGCAATCTAGTTTGAACCGGCTTGTAACCGGTTCGAACCGGATAAAACCGACTCGTTTGTTCCTATGGTCCGTTAGATGACGTCACGTGTTCAATTTAGACCGGGCGTAGCGTGTTACATTAAATACAAGGTATATAATGAAAACAGCTGTTTCTGTTCGGCGAGCCTAAATCATTTGTTATGTGTGGAAAATTTAAACATTTCTAGTTCGTTTAAAATGTAGCCTGTAAATATAAAATTGGAAAGGAACATTATTTGTCGTGATCTCATCGAAACGTCATAGCCGTGCTTTCTCAGAGTAAAAAAATAATCGTGTCGCATCCACGAAGAAAATGAAATGTTAAAATCAAGCGAACGGTAAAATGTCAAAAAAATTTACTAGCTTTTGCTCGCAACTTTATCCGCCTGTACTTTTGGATTGGAATAAATACTTAAATATAGAAGGTATTGAACTAAGTGGCAACTCTTTCACACACTGTGTCACGTAACTTCATACAAAATATAACCTTTGTCGTGAAACTTAACTAAATTATTTGATAAATCATACCTTAAATTTTATTCTGTTGTCTTAATTATACAACTTGAAATTTTCATCAGAATCGGTAGAACAATTATGCCAAAGACTGTGCTAAGTAGAGAAGTTTAAGCAGGAAGGCAGACCCTGGTTAAAGCTGGGAAATTGTTAGGAAGAAGAATTATTATGATTGTTAAATTTTATTTCCATCAACAAAATTATTAATAAATCTCTCTAGAGGTTTTATATAATGCTAAGTCCTAGTATAAATCTGCTTACAATAACTTGGATGTCCGTGACAGTTAAAGTTAAACTTTGAAGATTTTCGTGACCTCTAACAGTTTGTAAGTTGTTCCGTTAGGGAGGTCATAATGGCTGGCAGACTAAGAGCATCTTGCTGGTGACTTAGTTAATAATGTTAGGAGAATACTGGTCTTAATTGGTATTTAAGATGCTATGACCAATTTCTGTTTAATGTCCCACCATAACCGCTTTTCATAAGGTTCGCTTAGTGATTTTAATGTAAATTTTCATTATTTAAAAATCCTTAGTAATTTCTGTGACAATTAAACTATATCAAAATGACTAAAGGGAACTTATTTTCGTAATTTTTTGATAATCTTAAATAGTCGAAATACTTTTTAGATTAAATTTGATGGGAAAAGAAAATAAATTTTATAATTATTATATTTTTAGAATCTTGAGTGGAGGTAGATTAAAAAAAAACAATAACTTTACAAATCAAATTATTTACTTCTATAATCTAATTTTCATAATCAAAATTAACATGACAAACAACCATTAACTATCAGCACTATAACACAATTAAATAACGAACAGCAAATGTGAATAATTACGACTCACCGCAAATTACGCCGATCACCACTTACACAACCTCACTGTCTGAAATATCGCCGTCAAAATGACCAAATAGCGCTTGCGCAGGCGGTTTTATAATAGTGAGTGGGTGACGTCATAATTCGCAGTAGATTACAATAGTTTATGCTAATACGGCCTCTCCTGATCATGCGCCGTCCTCGGATGCATCTCCAGAGGAGCCAGAGGTGGATTGGCAGGATCAGACAGTCCAGCCTGATCATTCTCGTCAGCAATGCCCACAGGATTAGTGGGATCAGCACGTTCAGTTTGATGGTCATCATCAGGAATACTCGCGGAGTTGGAGGGTCCAGCTTGAACATCGTCATCCTCATTGTCATTGCCTGATGGTGGGAAACAAGGGTTAGTTGCTAGGTCACAAGTTAAAATTGCCTAAACTTTCATTCATCGCTCTTTCAAGGCCCCCGTTCAATGAGACTCATTAAGCTATTTGTAACTAAATTCTTTGCTAGCACACGTATTTACACACATAACGGCATACATCATCTATCATATGTGTTGCAACACTCAATCGTTCTCAAAACCTATACACGTTAATAACGTGTCTGCAAGGCCGAAGCCTTATACACATACGGCGATGTGTCTGCCAGGCCGAAGCCCAATACACGTACAACAACGTGTCTGCCGGGCCGGAGCCCAATACACGTACAACAACGTGTCTGCCAGGCCGAAGCCCAATACACATACAGCGATGTGTCTGCCAGGCCGAAGCCCAATACACATACAGCGATGTGTCTGCCAGGCCGAAGCCTAATACACATACAGCGATGTGTCTGCCAGGCTGCTTCTCGCATACATGTCTATGCGAAACACAGCACACCAAAAGCGAGTCCTTACTTCACTTGACCCATACAACTCGCATGAGTCGACATCTCTCTCACCACACCGTAAGTATGTGTATGAAAGCCACTGAAACATATAAACATTAGGAACTCACTTTCAAAAAATGCAGTACAACTCTCGGGACACCACTCTCCTTTCCATGGCACCATGTATTGTGCAGCCGCTTGCGTGGTTTTACCACGGGCGCCGCATAACAACTTCAGTTCATAACGGTCACATGGTAGAACCTTGGTAACACGGTAAGGGCCTCTCATGCCCGAATCAAGTTTGCCAGTAGATTGGGAATTCTTTATGACAAACGCCTGGTCATTCACTTGAAATACTCTGGGAGGGTGTCGATGACGGTTCACGTGATTATTCTGCTGCCCTTGATTCCGTTTTAAAAGTGACCTCGCTCGACTACGGGCGATCTCACGCATTGCTTCGTGGTTTGGCTTTGAATTTTCGACGGCAATGTCACGGACTAGCGCACGAATTACTGGAGTGGTCGCATTAGTACCAATCAACAAATAGAGTGCCGAAAATTGAGTAGTTTTTTGTTTCGTGACATTTAATACTAATTGAATTTTAGCAATTACATCTGACCATTTCTTATTATTGTTTCGGCTCTCTACTCGAATTAGGTTGAGAACGGTTCGCACATACCGCTCAGCCTGCCCGTTAGCATGATGCATCTCCGGCGTTATGTAATGGATATCGCACCCAAGTTCAGATACCCAACGCACAAATCCGGAAGACTCAAACATGCGACCACGGTCACATACTAATAGTTTAGGCGTACCAAACAAGGATACGGCAGAATTAAACACTCGCTTGAGCTCATCAGTGTCTTGTCTATACATGGGGTACAACAAGCAAAACTTAGTAAACGAATCTACCACTACTAGAACAAATTTATAGCCGTTAGACTCCGGCAATGGTCCTAGGACGTCAACATGGACCGTGCTGAAAGGGACATCGGGCTTTTCCCATGATGTTATGGGTTGTTGTGGAGCGCGTGGGATTCGTTTTTTTTGATATGCAAATTAAACAGTGTGCAACATACTTTTGAACAAACTGTTTGAGTCCGGGAAACCAGAAGTGTTTTAAAATGAGATCTAGTGTTTTGTCCGTTCCAACATGGTCATGCTCGTCGTGAAAAACACGTAATAGGCTTAGTCGGTGTCCTTTGGGTATGTAACATAACAAGCGCGCTTCTTCGCCTATTGGTGTGTAACGGTAGTATAAGACACCATTTTGACATATATAGCGACGCGAATCCAAAGCGCCCTCGTTCAACTTTTGAATGAGATCTTGGCACTCATCATCAGCGGTTTGAGCCATTTGGGCCCAGTTCAGAGGTATTTGTATATGGTGTACTCGCGCTGTTGGTGGATTCCTGCTTAAATAGTCAGCGTGACCCATCATGACCCCCTTTCGATACGCAATGGTAAAATTAAAATCTTGCAGGTATATCCACCAACGTGCAACACGTGGGAGTAGATCTTTTTTACGCTCAGTGGCCTTCAGAGCATTGCAATCGGTTATTATTTTGAATTGTAACCCAATTAAATAGTGCCGGAAATGTTGCAGTGCCCTGACAACCGCTAGTGTTTCCAATTCATACGAGTGGTACCTACTTTCTGCCCCCTGAGTAACCTTACTATAGTAAGCTACCACACGTTTACTATTGTCAGAGTGCTCTTGCATGAGCACAGCCCCATAGCCGGTGCTGCTTGCATCTGTATGCAGCTCGGTAGGCAAGCTTGGGTCAAAAATAGATAAAATGGGTTCGCTTGTAAGTTGGGTAATGATGTAATCGCGGACTTTGTCTTGTTCGTCCCCCCACACGAATTTAACATCCTTTTTAGTAAGTCGTGAGATGCTGGCAGTCTTTGTTGCATAACCCTTAATATATCGACGAAAATATCCAGCTAAGCCGAGAAACTGACGAACCTGTTTTACATTAGTCGGGGTAGGAGAGTTTACCAATGCCTCGATTTTTCGAGGGCTCGGTCTAACCTGACCATGACAAATTACCCTGCCTAAATACTCTATTTCAGAGGTAAGGAAAGCACATTTCTGAAGGTTGATCGAGAACCCTGCCTCCGTTAAAGTTTTAAGGACTTGCCGAAGCAGATTGATACCCTCATCAATAGTCATACTTAGAATAAGCACGTCATCTATATAAACGAGTACTTGTCCCAAATCAATGAATTTTCTAAGTGTGTTATTAATGATTCGCTGATAAACCGTTGGAGAATTGCATAGACCAAATGGCATTTTAAGATACTCGTAATGACCTTCGGGTGTAACGAATCCGGTTTTGTGTATAGAAGTCTCATCAATAGGGATTTGATGGAAGCCCGATGCCATATCTAAACTGGTGAAATACTTAGAGCCTCCTAAACGATCTATGTGGTCTTCGATCAATGGAAGTGGGTACCGGTCTTTGATTGTTATGCGGTTGAGTGCCCTAAAATCTACGCACATTCTATCGGTACCGTCCTTCTTTTTAACAAGTATAATTGGGCTAGCGTACTCGGAATCAGACTCTCTAATAATTTTTTTGTCAAGTAAATCCCTAACTATCTCGCGTACTTTGAGTTTCTCTTGATAAGATAACCTGTAGGGGTGATATGCTATAGGTACGTCACTCGTCAAATTAATGTGCATGCTGCCTGTCTTAACCGTGGTGGTCGCGGTACCGGATATAAGAAACGGTTTATAGTCATTGATGACTTCCATGAGGAAATGAAGATGTTCGCCCAGAAGGGGTGTATTTATCTTATTTTGTTTATTATTTTCGGCGGGTTGAACGTGTTGAATTAATTTAGGACTATGTGTTAGGTATTGTGAATCTTTAGTGCGAATAAAAGTAACGCCATCTCTGTTGAGGACGTCGGTCCCGATAATGACGGGTGTACACATACACGATGCGGGTACAATCATAAAATCTACGTCAAGTGCAATATTGTTAAACTCAATCGTGAGCGTCACGAATTCGCGGGCAACAACTTCGTTATCACTAATCCCTTTTAACATACAGTAGGTCGGCTTACGTGAACAAGAAAAATGTTTTAAGACATCTGCCGATATAAGGGATACATTAAGTGCACCGCTGTCTATTAAAACATCCACTGGTATGCCTTGTATTACGGCGGTAATGATGTCGTTACTACGCGATTTATTTGGAAATGCACTACATAAATTAACCTTACGTTGATTTGTGTTTTGACTCTCAGATCTAGTTCTGGCAAAACAATCGGTTTCCTTATGTCCGAACTTTTTACAAAATGAACAAGTGATTTTAACAGTACTTTCAGATACCTTACGATTCTTGGAACAGTTAATTTTCTTGTGTCCCGTTTGACCGCATGTGTAACATTTGGTATCAAGTCTGCCCGTATTCATACGTTTTTTAGTTGTAGTACTAAATAAGGCATGATTGTCTATTCTACCGCGGCCTGGTTTAACATAGATAGCCAAGAACGAAACCAAATTCTCGGTTGTAAGGTTTGCATTCGAAGCCGCAGCTTTAACTTGCGCGTCAGTTATGCCACGAATGACGATTAGAACTATTAGTTCCTCGCTTAGGCCCGGAATGATACGTAAGCGCAACAGTGAACGACGAGCGTACTCCGCGTATGTCGGAAAATTATCCGAAGTAATATTCATAGCGTCGAATAGCATTTGAGCATAATCAATCTTTTGCGGGCAGAGAGACTTAAATTCTTTTTTAAAATTTGTCCATGAACGATCGTTCGTCGACCACTCGTTAAGCCACATTTTGGCGTCCCCTTTCAGACAGTGAGCAACTCGCGATAAGCATTCTAAATCCTCCCAACGATTAGATACCCTAGCGCGTTCAACTTCATCGCACCACACCTCAAAGTTGTTGACAGCCGGATCAAAGTTTGACACATAGTAGTTATGCGAGTTTACTTTATTTACAGCAAGAACTGCATCAGCAAGTGCCTGCGTCACTGACTGGGTGCTGTCAAAGCGTTGAGGTGTGCTCTCACGATTTGATCGCTGTATCGGGGTTTGGGATGTACTCGCGGTATTTTCCTCAATAGCATTTAACCTAGCCACAATCGACCCTAATGTCACCTTAATCGAACTGTCGCGGTCACGAGAGTGAGAGCGCGACTTGTCACAGTGGCGGGAACGCGAACGAGAATGCCCGTGGTGGTGACGCGTTTTAGAGTGCTTGTGGTGTCGACGCGATTTGCTGCGGGTACGCCCTGCCTTACGGCGACTACGTACGTGGCGTCTCCTCCGAACTTTCACGCGAACGTGACACACGCGGCATTTTGATATTTAACGGTTGTTTGATTTTAAATAATCAAAACGTTTTATTAGAACAAAGATGATATGTGGATTTAGGTGAATCCCACTTCTGATTTTAGAATCTTGAGTGGAGGTAGATTAAAAAAAAAACAATAACTTTACAAATCAAATTATTTACTTCTATAATCTAATTTTCATAATCAAAATTAACATGACAAACAACCATTAACTATCAGCACTATAACACAATTAAATAACGAACAGCAAATGTGAATAATTACGACTCACCGCAAATTACGCCGATCACCACTTACACAACCTCACTGTCTGAAATATCGCCGTCAAAATGACCAAATAGCGCTTGCGCAGGCGGTTTTATAATAGTGAGTGGGTGACGTCATAATTCGCAGTAGATTACAATAGTTTATGCTAATAATATGCAATTCAGACAGAATTACGTTTCTTAGTTTAGAGTAAGTAAATAAAGTGTTGTTAAACTGTAAGGCTATAACTATTATACAATTTATAACTAAATGTATTCGAGATAGTTAACTGAGACAAACTTGGTCGGGATGCTGGATTTGAACTTGTTGTGTTTTAATGACAGTTCCGTTGTTGTATCGGAACCGTATAGAGTATAGACAGAGGTGATAAAGTATATCAATATATGTAATATGTTGCGATCTATATGTTGTAGAAGAAATATTATATGAGGAAAAAGGAAAAGACAAATAACACGAATATAGTAAGGAATAAAAAACGTGCAAAATGTCTTTTTTTATACCAAATTTTTATAAGATACTCTTTTAAAGTTGTCTACATTTTACTTCCTATATATAGAAGTAGTGTATCTTTTTCAATTTCAATTCAAAATACCCTATGCTTATAAAAGGACCTCTCATTCTATGTGACCAATATTGTTTTTCATATATATTATAGATATAGCGTAACAAACAAACAGTTGTACAAATATGTATTTATATATATATTCCTTGTTCCAGGATGTAATACACACCATCAGCTCGCCCCACGGACAGGTCCAGAGGATTGTGGTGTTCAAGAAGAATGGCGTACAGGCGATGGTTGAATATCCTTTTAAATAGATTACGTTGAGGGTAGATGGAAAAATAATAGTACTAGTGACGTCATTGTACACCTCAGATAGTAAAATATACATGTTCTTAGGTTCGGAAGAATAAATTAACTAAAAAATTATAATTATATTCGAACAGTTTAAGAATTCTTACAAATTCGTGAAATAAGTAATAGGTTTTAAGTGTGATACTAATACACAATGACGATTAATACCTCACAGAATCTAACAATGTGATTATAAAATGACTCATCGTACCGAATGTACAGAGCTCACGAGCAAAGGACTCGATACAAGACTACAGATCTTTATATCTTTATAAAAATACTAGCTGCGTCCCGCGGTGTTACCCACGGATTTCCGGGATGTAAAGTAGCCTATGTGTTATTCCTGGACGTCAGCTTCCTGTATACAAAATTTTATCAAAATCGGTTCAGCCGTTTGAGCGCGAAGAAGTAACAAACATACACACACACTCACAAACTTTCGCAATTATAATATTAGTAGGATTATTAGTGGTTACTTTAATAAATCAAAGAGGATGGTTGCTTATAATATACATATACGTTTATTTGGTTAAAAATTTCGTCCCATATTTTATAAAAGCTAACGGCAATTCGACGAAATTTAGCTTTGTGCTCAACGTGTGTATATGATTGTAAACACCTTCCTCAACCCATTCATTCGACCTGAATAGTTTTATCTGAACCTCTTCGTGGGATGATGTGAGTCATAAAACTAGTTGTATACTTTTTAACACTTCTTATATCTGCGGTCTTAGTGTTAGCGTTGCTGATGCAAAATAACAATTAAAAAAATTATCTATACTACTTTTAATACAATACATATTTTGAAGAAAGCATATATGTATCTTGATGTGTTTATTTATCGAGAGTCTTAATATCTTCAGAACATACACGAAGTTTCACAAGATCTTAACACACGTCGTCTTTTTTTCTTTTGTATACGTGATAAATCTTATTTTATTAAATCGCCACAACTGAGACCACAACTTTATAATACCGCAGCGTGCCACCTCGTTAACAGTAAAAATGGCACATAAATAAACAATCTCTAATGTCTGATGGAAGTTTTTATATTAATGTATTAGGAAAAATCACAATCATTTAAAGGAAAATGTGTTCTATGTAATGAATATTAATGTCGATATTGCACTGAGTTCATATGAAGATGTATTTTTTATATCACAATGTTAAACAACAGGTGGTTATTGTTGGGTCGCTTTGTAAGCGGATTATATTTGATATGAATAGATTTAATTCCATTCTCCTATATATATGTATTATCTCGGTACTACCTACACCAAAGATCTTTTACTTTTAATATAATTTTCTCACACGATAAATTAAATATATATATGATATCATTGCTTTGTAAACACTTGTCAATCTTTATATGTATATATTAATTATTCTAGTTACGGGAATATGAACTTTATATATGTATAGATAAAGTTCCATTCGTATTAAAATGTTACATTATTTTATTGCGGCCGTAAACGTCCAACGATTTTAACGACAAGTGGGTAGTTTTAGAATATTTTGTTTGCGTTTTAACTGGAGCGAAAAAGATTTTAAAATAGCTCCAAGTTTTTATAGTTTTGAGTATGTGTAAGATAAGATAGAGAGTTTATTGCACTAGTTGATGAATCAGGTGTCGTATGTACATTTTAATATATATTGATAGATTTATTTGCCTGTATGTATGTATGTATACAAATTTTTAATAGTTTTAAACTAAATAACACACGTTTGCTACATACGCTTTTACTCAACGCGAAATATTCGAAATATGATATGTATATTAAATATATTTATATTTATAAATTCACATTCATTGAAATGTTTATGATGGAATTACGATATCACTTCCAAGTATTTCTTTCTCTATTTAGAAATATAAATCATAGTTTCAAACTAAATATTTTGACAGTCGCCGTCACATCTATAATTATCTCTTGAATGATTGGATTCAATCGGAAATATAAAAATAGGAAAAAATAATGCAAATAAAAGTATGTGTAATTGATAGAGTAATAAGAATATTAACATTGGTCAAATGATTTTATGATTAGGTTTAATAAAAATATAATTACAACATATATTAGAAGTATAATATTCATCAGTCATATAAAAAATATCGCAATGAAAAACAAATTAATAATGATTCAACATTCGCCGTATCAATGAAATAAATATAGATTTTACAGAAAAATATATTTAAAGTGTAACAGCAACTGACTGGCACGTGTTGTTCAGAATTGATTGAACAAATCGTTACAGATGTATTCATTCAGGAGCTTTGTTAGTTTCGGGGGTCGATGACTGTTGACCTTGATGCTGATATAGAACACACACACGCACACATACACACACACACATACACACACACACACACATACATATACACTGACACACACACACTCTACGTACATGAGACGACTCTGCTTTTTAATATTATATTGGATTTTTTATGACTGAAAATATTACCATCGGTATTTTAATAGAATTATTAACAAATTCCCTTTAAATCTTACTATATAGAAAAATAAATTAACCTAATTAATTCCAATTTGGGTTATAATATTATTTTCAAATTATTATTGTTATGTTAATTTTAAATAATTATTTTATATATATATATATATATATATATATATATATATATATATATATATATATATATATATATTATTCATTCGATCATTCTTCTAACCGCTCTCAGTAATTCTCCCCGCCACGTGTTCTCAATACATCATTCATTTAAAACATTTCAGTGTAACGTGAAATAGTTTTATTTTTTTCGTCGTGTTAAGATTTAAATCGTTTTTGTTCTTAATGATTTATCACTTGGATTATACCATAGCGTTCTGATTTATTTTTTATTCTCTTTTTTTATATGAAAAATTACATAGCGATTTATTATTATGTTTGTCAGTAGAATACATCTTCATTTGACACAGTTAATTCATTTTAAAGTTTTTAATTCATTTAACGAATGTTTTTTAAATGTTTATTCAGAAATTTGTTACAAAGAGCTGAAGAAGTTTCATCGTAATTATTTTAAAGGAAAGTTCTGTTTGAATTCGGTCAAAGTTGCCGAAATTAAGGACGCGTCTGCGATTTAAGGTAGCGGTCACTTAAATAGCGATTAGCGATTTTTTATCAATTGATATTTTCTATATTAATATCATATAAAATTTATATGTAATAATAATCATACAATTATTAATTTTTTTAATATCATAGAAGTTACTCATATAAAATCTTCTTATTCCTGGCAATTATCCCGGCTTTAGCCAGTATCTGCCTAGAAGTAACTCATTTAAAATATAACTCGAAAATACAAAGTGCACCGTAATGTAAACACACCCTTAGTATAACTGAAATGAGAGACAGTCCAATGTTCCGATGTCTTAACTATTAGAATTTGAATTGCATATTCTTCCGATTTCAATTTATGGGAAAACTTTTGTAATGTGTTTTATGAAATAAGTTCATCTATATTAAAAACGTGTTGCTTGCTTTACATAATTATTAAAATATATATTCGAAATTTTAGTCCAAAGTAATTTTAAATTTTATGTATATTATTATTAAAAGTGATTTTTCCTTAACTATTCTATACATTTGAGAGCATCGACTCAGCGACAAGAGCTAAAGAGGCGTTACACGGCTGCGACATATACTCCGGTTGCTGTACACTCAAGATTGAATTTGCCAAGGTATGTATTAAATATCATTAACTATTTAGAAATTTATTGTAAGGTAATATATTAATATGACTTCATGCTTCTGAGATTGTAATTATACCTATATAACAACCTATGAAATTTTTATCTGACTTAATTTCTTCTCTGTTTGAAAAATATTGTTAATTTCCTCGTCGTGGATAATGTTATGTCATATATATAATATATGTTAATTAGTCATTTGAGGTAATATTTTATTTGGGACGTGTAAACTAGACCAGGGATTCTTTAACTTATTTTGTCTAATGCCTACTTCGAGAATAAATTATATTTTTATCGACCGCATTTTTCGCCTACTAAAAACCACTATAAGTTCAAATAAAATTAATTAATTATTGTGAGCTAAATTAGCGTTCTCATTTCTTTCTGGGTCTCCTACTACCCCTCTTTAGGCCTGTTATGCCTACAAACGGTCGTTATGAGCGAAACCTATATGATAACTTTAGGAAACGCTGAACGAAAATAATTCATTGTTATTTTCATGTGCAAGCGAACCCGTGGCGTTCTGTTTAGGCGATGAGAATAACTGTAGGGATTTAGGGAGTAGTTCCGCACGCCTCGACTTGACCCTTTGTAGGAGGAAGATGAAAAATCTCTTGTCATGAAATAAAGATGAAATAACGAAACAAATTATGGTTACCAATACTGTTTCTAGACTAATAGTTATTTTTTTTTTCCTATTATTATTTATTACAAATTCCGAAATCCAAATAATTTTATACCATGCAGCCTCTTATTGTCATCTCGACTAGTAACATATTTTGTATGGTTTCTTTTAAATGCATATTGCTATATAAGCAAAGCTATAAAAAGAAATTAATTTATGTATATAGAAATAAACGTGCAGACAAGACGAATGTAACTTAATTGCTTTGTTAGATAATTATATATAATATGCTACATTATGTGATAAGGTATTAATACGATATTTAGAATTATCTATTAAGAACAAATAAATTTCAATGAGATCGCCTAACAATAAGCCAAATCTTCAGCACAAAGCATTCTATGATGACTGTTGTATATTTAATTCCTGTGAAACACAGTCGCAGCGTGAATCCGTCACCGGAGTTAATCTGGTAAATCAAAGAGTTTGAATCAAACAGAGTTCAGGTGACATCAAAGGGACGTCTGAGACAAATCAAACCATTCACAGATACGTGTTCACATCAAACCCGTCAAATTCGTGTTCAAATCAGATCAAATCCAGATTTGAATGTTCACTATTCTTTATACGAAAGTGTTGCAAAAACTATACGCTCGTATGTCAAATATTTTTTATACAAATCTAGTTTTGATTCCTAACACATTAATGTTGTTATTTAATAAATCGTATTAAGCCATTAAGTTAAATTAAAACTTTTGGTCTTTCTCAATACTTTAGTAAAGTTACAAAGCATCACGAACTGTACAACTTGCGATAGTTTTCATTTTAATTGAATCTGCGAAGTTGAACCGAGTTTATTTTATATTAATGATAATATTATGTCATTGATTTCATAATTAGAAGTGTTACGATACAAATTGTCGTATAAACTATTGAGAATTAATTTATAGCATGAAATCTTTTTGATATACAATATGTTATTAGCTAGTGATTTATAACGAAATAATATATCTAATTTAAGTTTAACTTCAACATATGAAAATTATTGGGTATATAAAAGTAAAATAACTAAGGATATTGACATATATATGTATGTATGTCCGCTATTATATTATGTACTTTTTAAAGTAAGAAAATATCTTGGGCTTAAATGGAAATAAAAAACAGAAATATTAAGATGAAGACTGTACATAGAATATTACTTATTTGAAACCTTACATTTATATAAAAATTGTTTCCTTGTCTGAGAAAGTATTTTAAAATATTAACATACATTTAATATTTTTGATATTATATTAAGATGTATTATTTTAAATGCATATATTCTTAAATTTACCATGATATGTTTTAAAGAGTATTTCAACATGAAATACCTTTTAAATTTTTATAAAAATATTGTGAAGATACAAAAGCAACCGCTGGAACACCAAGCCACGGTTACTACGGTTAACTCAAAGGAGCGATTACTTTATAAGATAAAAAAAATAACAGTTAAAGTGCAAACGAATAAATTGATAAAGAATATAGAACTTTTTAAAGAATCATACTGAGAAGTCCATAGGATTTAGAAGTAGTTTTGAAATGATATTTCGTTATTTATAATTATTTATTAATGTTTATTGGATTTGAATTTCAATCCAAAATTCTATTTATAATATTATCAATTAGATCTTTGTATTTTTTCTATTATGAGATACATGCTTATCCTATTAGATTAAGCATTATTTCAGCTATGTGCCGACCTGTGCTTGTGTACCTGAAAATTTTTGACATATGATTGTCATTGCTATCCTAAAATTGTGGCAATCAACCATTTAGTCACAGGATATATCTTTTAACTTCTTATATAATGATATCAAGTTTTTACAAAATATAGTTTTATTTCAACTAAAGTTTGATCGCAGGCCCAAAGCGTATTTTTTATATATTGTTATTTGGAAATAATAGCAAATTTATTTTATAATAATTTTAACAATACTGTCCTGTACACTGTCTCTGACACAGTTGTTAGTGTCAGGGAGAGATGTCGTATGTATTAATAGATAAAATATTACATACTAGCTTTCCGCCCGCAGCTTCGCCCGCGTGGACTTCGATTATACATATATCGTTTCCAAGAGAACCTTTCAAAAGTCATGGATAAAAACTATCCTATGTTCTTTCTCAAGGTCAACTCCATCTCTGTAACAAATTTCATTAAAATCAGTTCAGTGGTTTAGGCGTGAAAGCGTAACAGACAGACAGACAGTTACTTTCGCATTTATAATATTAGTAAGGACAATACATGTTTAAAGAGACTAATTATTCAAATTCTTATAATCAAATAAAAGACACGTATTATTAGTAAGAGTTTATCGTGAACTGAACACCTACAGTTTGGAAGTTTCGAATTCATAAATCATTGTACACTCTCGTATTTAACGATTATTAATGGCGAACTTTGAATCAGATTGTTTAAAGGTACGATGAAAACTTACCAATGGTTCACTATAATTAATCTTCTTCTTCTACCTGGCAATTTCCCAGCTTTAGCCAGGGTCTGCCTTACATCTTACATGTTTTTAATAGTTTTGGCTAATTGTTTTTACGACCGGCCGCCTGCCTGACATAAACCCTCTTTGGGAATGTATTAATCAGTGATGTCTAAATACTCTTAGAAAGTACATATGACTCGGAAAAATCACATTGGTACTTGACTGGGCTAGGATCGAACCCGCGCCCTCGTGTATGAGAGGCGGGCCTCTTAACCACTGGGCCACCACTGACTATTCACTATAATTAATATATACACGAAATTGTTCTCAAAGTAATTGTAGAATTATATTTTAACAAACTTATAAAACAACTTGTTATTTAGGTTCGGTCAATAAATAAATTTAAATATTTAATGACTTTGGTTGTCGTTATTCTCTCAAAGATTGGTTTAAATTAATAATTTTATTTTCATTTACTAGATGTCTATAAAATGTTTACTCGTTGGAGGTTTCTCTAGTTTTAAATAGATCACCTAATAATTAGAAGTCAATAGTTTTAAAACATAAACATTTTCGATGTTTTTTATATGCTTCCTAATTTCATACAATCGAATTATTTTTACCCAAAATTCGTAATGTCGAACACAATGTCATCAATAATGAATTGAATCCACACATCTGTTTTTCTTATTGTAATTAGTGTTTCCGTACTAATTGGGTCACTGTAAAAGTATTGACAGTAGCGACGAAAGTTTTCGACTAACATTTGTCATCTCATTATATATGAATTTTTGAATTCATTCATTTTTATTTCCATTCAATCATCCATTGTATTACAATGAATGAAAAATTAATTACTGTTACATTAAATGTATGTATTACATTTAGAGTTTTATTTTTATAGTTTCAACGTTAAAAAATTCGAAATATCTTTGTATTGACAAAGTAAAATGTATGAATTTATAATTTTATCAAATCGTGTCACATAAAAATGTTTTTATTTATTGTATCACGATTTATTACGTGTTTTATTTAATATTTTGTCTTCACCCATTAATAAAAAACTAATATAAAAATACTAAAAAAATGTATACCTATCAAATGACGCCTAATGAAACAGTCATTAAGCTAATAATTAAAAGATAATTATTAGCAATTTGTGCTCTGAGAATATCAGAGCAATTTATTTTTTTTATACATTGAATATAGAGACGTAAATAAAAACATGTAGGTTAAATATAACAAGGTAATTAAACAAATTAAATAAATAATATAGAATGACTAAAAAGGTTAACCAATTTAAATATTCTTTTATAGTTATATATATTCTTAAAAATATATATTGTAATACGAGGGCTGCTATATATATTTCTGGCCTAGGCAACACTAAGTGTTGCCAGGTGCAATCTGGCATTTCCATTGGAAAGTTTGACATTTTTTAGCATAAATGTACTCAGAACTTTTTGACTTACGACAATTTTTTTTTTCTTTTACAAGTACTTGAAGAAATCAATTTGGCAAAAAAATGGAATTAACTCGTGAACATTTTCGTGCGATCATTTTTCACAACTTTCGACGTGGATTATCACGACAAGAGTGCATCGATGAACTTAAATCTTTGTATGGCGACGAAGCACCATCCTATAGCACTGTGAAAAACTGGTACAACGAATTCAATCGTGGCCGACGCTCGCTCAAAGACGAATTCCGTGAAGGTCGTCCAAAAACAGCCGTTGTGCCAGAAAACATCGATGCCGTACGTGAACTGATAATGCAAGACCGTCATGTGACTTACCGTGAGATAGAGGCATGCCTAGGCATTTCTCCCACCAGCATACATTCGATATTGCATGAACACCTGGCCGTAAAAAAGGTTTGTTCTCGTTGGATCCCGCACAATTTGACAATCGCTCAAAAGAAAGCTCGTGTGGATTGGTGTAAAGAAATGCTGAAAAAATATGATCGCGGTGCTTCAAAAGACGTTTATAAGATCGTCACAGGTGACGAATCATGGATCTATGCGTATGAGCCCGAAACAAAACAGCAATCGACCGTGTGGGTCTTCCAAGACGAGCCAAATCCAACGAAAGTTGTTCGTGGAAGAAGCACTTCGAAGCAAATGGTCGCCTGTTTCTTCGGCAAAACTGGTCATGTGGCGACTGTTCCGCTTGAGCAACGTAGGACGGTCAATTCTGAGTGGTATACCACCATTTGTTTGCCTGAAGTCTTCGGAGAAATTCGAAAAATGAACAAGAGAAGACGAATCATTGTGCACCATGACAATGCGAGCTCTCACACATCGGCTCAAACCAGCGCCTTTTTGACCGGCCAAAACGTCGAAGTGATGGGTCATCCGCCGTACAGCCCTGACTTGGCACCCAATGACTTCTTTTTATTCCCACACATCAAGAAAAAAATGCGTGGACAACGATTTTCGTCGCCAGAAGATGCTGTTGAAGCATTCAAAAACCATGTTTTGGAGGTGTCTCAATCGGAGTGGAAAAAGTGCTTCGAAAATTGGTTCGAGCGCATGCAAAAGTGTATAAATCTTGATGGAGAATATTTTGAAAAACAATAAAACCATTTTCGTTGATAAATATTCGTATTTTCATTATTAGGCCAGAAATATATATAGCAGCCCTCGTATTCTCAATGCATAATACGTTTTTTGTAAACGTCTGTTGACGATCTAAATATATTATTAACTCGGTTTAACTTTACAATTTCAATTAAAATGAAAACTAATGCAAGTTATTCAGTGTGTATATATAATGATACTTTTTGAACATCAGTAAAATATAAAAGAAAGAATTAACTTATTAAAAATAGTAAATACATATACAATAAACCTGTTATATTTATGTCTTTCCGTTCATATTTTCAACAATACATGTATCTATCTACATATATGTATGTTTGTCACTGTATGTTTGTATTTCCGCTATCATGTTTCCCCATCGATCATGTCGTGACCCGGGTCATAGAGCGTGACTGTGAC